ATCTCAAAGTGCACAAGCTTCAAACTTCAGCGTTGGCTGCGATTTTGAAGCAGAAATTGCGTTCGGTGTGAACACAGCATAAGACCTTCTGGAATTGATAGTAAATCACTAAAACGCTCGAACGCAAACAAAGGTTAATGTTTACCTTGTCCTCCGTTATTGGCTTCAGCAGCATCCTCTTCCCTCCCTTCTTCCTCCTCTCCTTCCTCCTCATCGTCCCCATCGTCATCGTCGTCGTCGTCGTCTCCGTCGTCATCGTCCAGTTCAGCTTCATCCCTGTGCTGGTTTCCCATCGCCTGCTCGTTGGGGCCGGCCTCTGCCGGGGCGCCTGCAGCACCTGCAGCAGCCTGAGCGTTGGCTGCAGCATTAGCACCTGGATCCTGCAGGGGGAGGGGGATAAGGCACGCAGTTTAATGAGATACTATTTGACTATACTTGCTCACTAAGCACACACACACACACACACCGAGTTCACCTCATTAGCTCGCGCAGGGCCGTCAGGCTGGTTAGGAATCAGAGGGGCTTGATTCTGCTCAAGCCACTGTGGGGCTCCGCCATGGACRATCTGCTCTCGGAGCCACACCAGACTGATGAAGGCACACAGCGTGCATGTGACCACAAAACAGCCCTGGAGGCAGTCGGCAAGCAGGTTCTGCCTGCAGGTTAAACACCACAGAGAGAGTATGGCCAGATTGTAGCAGTTTGCACTCAAGGTTCAAAGTGGGAATGGAAAGAACTGGAAAGATAAAGACAACTCTGCATGTCAGAAAGACAAAAACCAAAAATCCAGAGACTTACGTTGAAAGCATGTCTAATGGCAGGGTAAGAAGAGAGCTCACAGAGCCAGTAAACAAACAYTTGTAGATGCGACCTGTGAGGAAAACACCAAACAAAAGACAGGTGATGTAAATACCAAGACCATTAAAGTCAGATTTTTATTGTTTCAGATGTGCACAGATGTTTATTGCACATCGTTTTGAACTAAAACATTTGTTTCATATATCAATAAAGCACTCGCTGAAAACAAACTAAGCTAATATTTCAGCTTCAAAGTCAATGTAAAATTTATAACCTCAAAGACTATTATTGTCCTTTGAGGAACACTATCCTGCACGTTTTAGTCATTTCCCTGCTCAAACACACCTGATTCAGTGACGGAATTACCTCTCCACGTTCTGCAGTGTGTTGGAGAACAACCTCTGAAACATTGCAGGAAGGCGTCCCTCAGGGACAGGATTGGACACTCCTGGTTTAAAGCTTCACTTTATGCCACAATAAAATTAGCTGACTATAAGTTATAATTCAAAATAAAATAAACCCTCACCATTTGGTGTTACCAGAATAAATATCTGAGTCCTTGATTTAGTGTTTTACCTGTCATCTAGGTGGAAGATAAATAATGTATCTTTTAAAATTGTAAATGTGTTGATTGAGTTCCAAATATCTAATTTATCTGCTTTTTTAGTGCTGTTTTCCTAAGCTTGAAGAAGCTATTAATAAGCATTAAGTAATGTAAATTATGTAACAATAAAGTGATTACATTTTCCATTAGAAAATAACTGGCAACAAGTGCTTCTTACAGCTTTTAAACAGTTGAGCCAGTTGCTTTCCAAAAATTAATTTTCCTCTTATTATTTGAGTAATTGAACAAATAATTTATCATGAATGTTGGGAAACAATTGGGAAATGTACATAAAAAAATAAAAAATAAAAAAAAAAACGGGATGTAACTTACATGCTGTGAGAGGCACAACACCGAGCCAGGCGAAGGCCACCAGTGTGTAGTGGAACCAGTATCTGATGGCGGTTCCAATACTGGTAACCAGTCCTGCAAAGATATCTTGGACAGGCAGGCGAGACGGCATGTCTGGGGAGTAGACTGGAGGAGGGGTGGGAGACAACAAACAAATGAAAAACAACTCCGCGCAACGTTTGTGTCCTGAAATCATTTATTAGAAAACTGGCAACTTACTTGGCGTAAAYGCAAACCTGTGTTTGCATAATTCACAGTATTCCTTTCTACTGTGTTTTAGCCACTGTAATAAGCTGTGAAAATAAAATTAGACATTATGAGCTTACTCTTCTTGTCCTGAGAGGAAAACCTTTCAGATTTAAAATGAAATCATCATCCTAATCATCAGAGCTGTACTCTATCTGCTTATTTCTGATTTGTAGTACAGTAATTACTTATTTATGTGTAATATAAAAGAGATGGACATTACACGCTTTAGAAACTAATAAACGTAAATCTATATCGATCGTTGTTTTGGTCGTCATACCACTCTTGATGAATAAATTTGATGCTGCCGGTGCAAACACAAGGATGATAAAGGGGCTTTTCCTGGGTCCCCTCTGACCGACATACTCGACAGATATCTGCTGTAAAACAAGGACACAAAAACAMACACACTATTAAGATTCTAACATAGATTCAACATTCTAACAACACTTTTATTTCTTTGAATCAGCTAATGCCTTTTCTTTTGATCAACAACTCACACTAACTGCATAACATAAACATGATTAACAGATATGTGGTGCAGAATGTCTGACAAAGCTTAAAAATCGGTAAGAGATACATTAGTCATCAGTAGCACAAGGACAGASAGCTAAGGACGAACTATAATCCCTGGATTACCTGTGTATCTGAATGGCCAAAATAAAATTACTATAATTAGCCAGTGATGCAGCATTATATGGCAGGCTGTTGTAACATATACTGAAACGTCCTGATGTGTCTCAGTAATCCAGGTAAAACATCAAAAAGAAAAAAATTGTGTAGGTCTTCTGGAAGGGTTCTTCTCTAATGAAAC